ACACAGGGAAGAGGTAACTATTGGGAGAAAGTGGGAGGGGAGCTGTTGCATTGTGGTAAATTGTGGTCAATGTCATGAGACAAAGTATATGTGAACTGATATATGGAAAGTGAATTTGCTCTGTAAATTTTCACCCAAATCACGATAAAATAAAGAAATAAAAAGATGTAAAATTTTACCAGCTACTAAACAAAGGAAAATGTACCCTGAGATTATAAATGATTTGACACCCACAGAGTCAGGTTTAGAAGTCTTCACAAAAAACTTTTTAGAAGCAATTCACCATAGCAGGATCTGTGGCTAGGTTCTTGTGAAGAGTATGGTTTGTTTTATCAGGGTGGCATACTATAATTTTACACAAATAATGTGCATGTTATACTTTTTTTGCAAACAGTGCAACCCTCTCATGTGTCAATTTCCTATGCTTGCTATGTGTGTCATGCATATGTGCATTATATGTGAAAATACAGTAATTGGTGAACACTGCACAACATGAGAGCTATGATAATCTGCTGAAATGAAGAAGGATGTAAAGATCCAAGTCTCTGTGGAGACCAGACTATGGCCTAGTGAATTTCTATGTAAGTTCTCACAGAGGGAAATATAAAGAGTGCCCTGGTTCTAGGAAGTATATTCTAGTTGTCTAGACTTCGGATTTTAATGACAGTTGCTCAATTTTTAAACGAGGCATTACTATGTGCAAGGCACTATGATATATAATCTTTTCACATATAATCCTGTTTCAGCCTACAACACACTAAACCAAAAACAAACCAAACCCACTGTCATTGAGTTGATTCTTACTCCCAAAGACCCTGAAAGATAGAGTAGAACTGTCCTATAGGATTTCCAAGGCTGTAAATCTATATGGAAGCAAACTGCCTCATCCTTCTGTGGAGTGGCTGGTGGGTTCAAACTGCTGACCGTTTCATTAGCAGCTGAATGCTTTAACCACTGTGCCACCAGAGATTCTTCAAACACTACCAAAAACCAAACTCACTGCCATCAACTCAATTCTGACTCATAGCAACCCCCATTGGGTTTCTAAGGCCGTACATCTTTACAGAAGTAGACTGCTTCATCTTCCTATCATGGAACGGCTGGTGGGTTTAAACTGCTGACCTGGTTGGCAGCCAAATGCCTTATCCACTACGCTACCAGAGCTCTTTCCTTCAAACACTAAAGAGTAGTTAATCCCTTTTTGTTTAACAAATTGAGAAACTGATGCTTAAGAGAATTTATCAAGATCACATAGCCAGCTGTCTGATTCCAAAGCCCAAGCCCTTTCTTTTTTCTCCTCACTCCACTACTTCCCTAGGAGATGGCACCAATCCTGGAGTAAAAATAGGGGTCACTTTGTTTCACAATCCTATACTGTTCCCCATCCCCCGGGGAGAAACCTTTATTATAAAACCAATACCTATTTAATATAAAAAGTTTAGAAAATCATTCATAAATCTAGTATCTGGGAATAAACACTGTCAACAATGAATTATTTCTATTCTAGGAGCTTTTAAAACCAGAAAAAAAGTTTAGAGATATATTTCTTCACAATAATAAGGTGGCTCTAAAGTAAGCCCTACAAATAATCCTTAAGTATACCCAAATCCCTTTGGGCTCTGTCCTTGAGTGGTCTGCTGGTTTTCTGAGTGGATCACACACCTCGGAACCCCCTCTGCAGCTGACCTACTCTAATTCTCATACTAGCTGTGCTTTCCCAATACAAAAATTCCAGATGTCCGATCCTCCACAGGTACACATGAACACACCCTGGGCAAACTGGCAGTTTTTGTGCCATAGGGCCCACAGGCTCTTATCATGGACAGCACCCTCGGAAGGTTATAAACTAACTTTTGTGAGGGAGGTTCTAAGATCCCTAAGGGCAAATATGTTATAGAAAATGCCAGACAAATCTAGATCTGTCTCTGGATAGGAACTGATTCTTTTTCCATGGTTCCTATACCAAGAAGCTTTCATGAGGAAACAGATGGCTTAGAGACTGAAAACAAGAACACCAAAGAAATATCTAACATGACTGATAGCCAGACTAGTGAGGTTGACATGAACCATCTTTTGGTTTGTGATCTTTGGGAAACTCTTAAGCCCCTGACTACATTTTCCTGATCTTTAAAATAGGGAAACTCCATCACAAGATTATGAAGATTCAACACAGGAACATGTGTCAAAGTGCTTTGTGCAATGCCTAGTGCAATATTAGCCAAACCTGAATCTCAAACCACATTCCAGACTGGAAAGCTCTATTTTCAGATCCAAGTTCCCAGGAAAATTATGATTGTTTTGCTCAAGTCAGGTCTCTCCAGTCTATAGATACTGTTGATTGGTCTAATTCAGGCTAACAGTAGGGAACTTTGGAAGTAATGACAATCTCTGACTGTCTGATAAATAAATAGCCCAGGGACAAGTGACTCTAAATGCTGCCAAGAAGCCTACAGGCAGTGGGTTCACTGGAATTCACGACAGTTTCTTAATAAGCCATCTTTGGAAGAAGCCAAGGGCTCTCTCCAAACAAAACCCTTCTCTGGGATGTGCCTCTAGCCCTCAGGATGCATCATCATAAAGGAGCAAGTTTTACCTGAAAGATATTATCCCTTCATATATACACTTAGAATGACCACCCAAGATGCCTGCAGATTATTTACCCAAAATTGACAAGGTCAAATTTTCCTTGCTCAAGTACAATGTTTCAAACACACCATGTCTCATTCTGCTTCTGCCTATCTGCCACAGCCATAATGTTTCACAGCTTAGTTTCAGAAGTCAAAGTCAAGGTAAAGAAAGCAAGAGCTACTGGAGTGTCTTTAGTTCTGGGTTAAAGAGAGTGCTGTCAATCTCTCTTCCCCTCAGAAGCTCCCCTATGAAAGCCAGAGCACATACCATCCGAGCTGGGGCAGAGTTCTGCCTCTGTGTGAAGACATCTTTACCCTCCTCAAGTCCATGAGAGTGCAGGCAGCCACGAGATGCAGGTCTTATTGGCTTCTTAAACTCAAAGGCTTCCTGCAAGACAGTATAGTCAAGATATTGTCTACTGTCCATGAAAAACAGATCTAGGGCCTCAGCTGTAGCTTGCTTCAGACAGGCAAAGAAGTGGGCACTAGTTGCCACCTTTATAACAGCCTCTGAATGAAAGTTGTACCTGTTTCTGATCTAATTTCTAACAATGGATACATCTAATCTGTCACAGCTAATTTCACAAGCAGCATTTCCCCTCTTTTCACCACAAGCACTTTATTTCCTAATAAATTACCAACTCTATGAAGCAGAAAAATCTCAGAAAAGTCACTACATTGGGATAAATGCTATATGCTTTAGGGTCTTATATTTTCCACCTCTTTGTATGAACAGGAGACAATGCTTATCCCACTTAAAATGACTGCATTACATACTGAAAACAATGAAAATAAAACTAAACTATTGGTTTACTGGTTTGTGGATTTACCAATGTAAGACTTATTTTGAGTGAAAGAAGCCAGACGTGGCAGAATACATACTAGCATGAAAGAAATTAAAAAAAAAAACACAAAAAACAGGCAAAATTAATCTCGGATGACAGAACTCAGACTAATGGTTACTTTTGTGGGAGATGGTTATTGATGGGGAGGCAAGGGGGGGTCTGAGGTTATGGTCATGTCATCTTAATCTCAGTGGTAGTTATATAGGGATGCTTACTTGTAGAAATTCATCAAGCTGTACATTTGAGATTTGTATATTTTGTTAGATTTCAGTATAATAAAGTTTAGAAAATAAGTATAACTGTACTGTAGAAAAATTTGAAAAAACAAGAAAAAACACCCATATTCCCTTACCCTGGAATAGCCACTTAAGAATTTCATTAAGCACTCAATGCACTAACAGCTAATACTGAGTAATATTTACGTGCCAACACCGTACCTAAACACTTTCTGTGCATTAATTCATTTAACCCTCCAATATAACCTGAACGACCTCATTTTTCAGAGGAGGAAACTAGGCCTTACAGGTTAAATGATATGGCCATGGTCACAAAGCTAGGCAGCATGACTCCAGAGAGGAAGTGCTTTAACCATCTTATGTGGTTTTCCCACTAAAACAAAGGTCCAGGGAGGCAACCCTGGGAGAAGCGAAGTCTGGGGGAGAAGCAGGCATCATTATCATTGTAGCTTTGGCCCCAGGGGTAGAAAGCCGATACAGTGCCCCAAGTGCTCAAGGCAGGGGAGCAGGGTGTTTTGACAGAAACTCATTTCTGTATTAGCCCTCAAAACATCTCTCAAGTTGCCAAATGAATCACTAGAAGAGTTCATGGAAGCAGTAGGTTTTACCTTAAGTGTAGAAGATTATAAGGATTATAAATTGTGGTGTCTCAGCAGGGAAAAGAAAAGGGAGGGAAATAAACAGATACAGAAATAGTTGAGAAAGAAGACTAGAAAAGTTGAGCTAGCTCATCAACTACTTTGGATGTCTATCCTATGCAAGGCACGCTTACCAGACACAAGAGAGAAAGCCAGGCCAGGGTGTTCATAGACTTTTTTTTTTTAAGATGACAAATCATGTAAGTTTCCCCTCTAAGCCACCATGTCTATTACTCTGAAATCCCCTGGAATCTACTGGGCCAGTTCTTAAACACTGCTGAGCTTTTTCTGGAGCTCACAACGTATCTCAGTGTCAGAGCAAAGAAGAAAAGAAAGTCTGGGCAGACCTTCCCAGACAGAGGAGGATAAAGATGTCTTCACACAGAGGACATAATTACTCTAAAGAGCTTCCAGCTGAGTAACTCCTACATAAGGCACCATTTTAAGTGTCTTATATACATCATCTGTTTCCCCACAATAACCCTAAGAGACACACCTATTTTACAACCAAAAAACAAAATGAAACAGAAAAACCCCAAACCAAGCCCAATGCCATCAAGTTGATTCCAACTCACAGCAACCCTATAGGATCAGAGTAACCCATAGGGTTTCTAAAGCTGTAAATATTTACGGAAGCAGAGTGCTTCATCTTTCTCCTGTGGAACAGCTGGTGGGTTTAAACCACAGACCTTTTGTTAGTAATTGAATGTTTTAACCACTGCATCAACCAGAGCTCCTTTTACAATCAAAGAAACAGAAAACTAAAGAGAAGTAACTTGCTCAAGGTTACAAAACTAGTAAAAGTAGCAGGATTCAAACATAGGTTTCCCTGACCCGAAAGACCATGCTTGACTTTGGCCAAGATTTAGTATCCCACAGAGCAGCCCACTGTACTTAAGACAGTCACTGATTTTCCCTCTGCCCTGTGTTAGTACAATGATGCGACACTCACGTTTTCCTTGTTCTCATCTTGGTCAATCATCCGAAAGATGTCATGGTCAAGAGAATCAGAATGGCTCCTCTTCAGAGCTGGGCTACATCCCAGAAGCTTCTGCTATCAAAATGAAAAGAGGAAATTAGGGTACGTGAATGAAAATTCAGAAGAGAAAAAAAAGAGGGGAAGGCTAGCTCTTTTCTTACACTATAGCCATAGGTATCCAGTAAAAGCAGCCAGGGTGCTATATTGTCAGAACATAGGTTAGAGGTCCTCATTTTATGGCTTTACAGGTAACCTGACAAGGTCTACAGCCCTCTCAGCAAGGGCCAAATCAACTCCAAAATATTATTTGGATAAAAAGCACCCTTCCTGGTAGAAATGAAGGAAGAAAAAGTCCCCAAGAGGCATTCTTTAGGTAGATGGTCTTGAGTGCTTTTCCATAGTCTTATGCTTATAAATAAGCAGTCTTTACTCTCTAAGATCTCACATCAAGGTCACTCTGGTGGGGAGGGCAGAGAATAGGTACTAGCCCAGAATAAAGAAGAACACTAACTTACCGGTAGGGAATTTAGTCTCCTCATGGGATTTTCAAGGCTGCAATGAAATCACAAGGTAAATAATGAGAATAAAACAAAGATTTATTCATATTAGAAGATGAACAGTGTCTAGCCTGTAGTTTGGGGACAGTCAAACAGACCAAATTCCCAGAGCAGCACACCCAACACGGAATTTCTAGGTGAAAAAAAACAAAACAAGGTCTTCTCTTAAAACATACAGGTTTTCTTAAGGCTATGACATTATAGGGTGGAGCAGGGGCTTGAGTGCCCTGAATAGAACATCAAAATTACAGTGAAAAAAAATAAAGGAGGGGAGGATCTGAAAACTGCTGACATAAACTACTCATTCTCAAAAAAATACAAGAATGTTGGCAGGATCAGAGAGTCTGACTACCAACATTTTTCAAGTTGATTCTGACTCACAGCAACCCATGTTCATCACAAACTGATTGCTGTTAACTAAGGACGGCCAAAGCCAAGGGTATAGGCCAGAGTGTGAAGAATGTCATTAAATAATCAAGAAAATCTTTTTCTGAGTACAAACATGTAAAAGCAGTGAATACATACTTTTCTTTACTGTCCAAGGGCCCAGGAGAATCCAGACAGAAGCCTGTGGTAAATAAAAGAAAAGTTCCTGTTCACCACTAATCACTGTAGCTCAGCTGCTTTATAAAGCAGCCCTCATTCCTTCTATGAGAATTCCCATTTGCCTGACAATTCTCATTTTTTCATTTAAAATATTCTCAGTTCCTTGTGCTTTCAGAGTGCTTAAAATCTCAGGAAATCATACATGAAACACATTTTGTCATTAAAAATAATAAAATTAGCCCAACAGTACAAAGACCTACATCAGAACACCTATCTCAAGGCAATGCACCCACCTACTCTAGGGAGGTACACCCCATGGAACAATTGGCATGGGGCACCAGAGGGGCAGCATTCGCATAGAGGGAAAACTGGACAGACACGAGTGCACAGTAAAGAAGGGTACAGAAAGGGTTAGTCACAGGGAAGGGAGGGGAGGAGAGTTTCTTATGGTTGGGGATAGTAATCGGGGTGTGAAATCAAATGCACATGAACTGTTGAATGTAAAACAAATTTTGCTCTGTAAATTTGCATCCAAAGCACAAGTGAAACTTAAATAAATAAAATTAAAATTAGAACTTTACTTAAGTCAGCCAATAAAGACTAATAGCTTAGTCCCTTGCCAGAACTGAAGTCAAGTCTCTATTTGATTTGCCAAAATTTCCTATTTGCACAAGTCTTAATATTTTCATAGTATATCTACTGATCCCTTCTCCCACATGCAAATACATCTGCTTCTCACTTATCGACTCTCTCATTATCCAACATCTCACATTTATGATAGTATAATGAGGAAATCTGGTAGTTACATAATGATGTAGTCATCCTCCATTTTGTGATATGATGTGGTCACCCTCCATTTCCCTATCACACCGATTTTGCATAATGACCTGATCTTTGGAACTTAACCATGTTGATTAAGTGAGGAGTGGGTATACTACCAAATGAACTAAACTAGTTGCTGTGGAGTCAGTCTGACTCATGGTGATCCCACATGTGTCAGAGCACAACTATGCTCCACAGGGTTTTCAGTGGCTAATTTTTTTGAAGTATGTCACCAGGCCTTTCTTCCAAGATACCTCTGGGTAGATTCTTACTTCAAATCTTTTGGTTAGTGCATTAACCATTTGCACCAACCAGGAACTCCAATTACCATCAGGGGAAAAAGGTGAGTTAAACTGATTCATGCCATGATTACCTGGTTATTCAGAGGTGACCCAAGTAACTTTCAAACTGGAGTTCCAACCAGAGAAACAGGCACCAGGTTTTTCCAAGATAGTTTTTTTTTTTTTTTTAATTAGGATTTGGGTGAAGATTTACAGAGTAAATTCACTTTTCATACAGCAGTTCACATATACTTTGTCTCATGTCATTGACCAAAATTTACAATGCAGCAGCTCCACTCCCACTTCCTCCCCATAGTTACCTCCTCCCAGTGTCCCTCCCTTCATACTCTTCTGCACCCTGAGCTATCTCCCTGTGCATAAGCAGCCCTTCCTTCTCCCATGATTGTTCTCTCCAGGGCGTGTGTCTACTTGAGGTAAATGTTTAACTCACATGCCTGTACTTTGTTTGGCTGGAAACCACAGTTGTGGGTTCAATTCCAGACCTGAAGGGCAGCTAGGGGCCATAGTCTCAGTGGTTACACCAGGCTCTATTGGACCAGCAAACCTGGTCCCCATCTTCCTTTTTTTTTGCCTCCAAATGATTTTGAGTTTTGTACCACATTGTTCTCCCTCTTTATGCAGGATCTCCTACATCCCTTCCAAGTGGATGGCAGTGGTAGCTGGGCACCATCTAGTTCTTCTGGTCTCATAGTTGTATAGGTTGCAGATCGGATGGTGTACCAGTCGCTAGGACTGATTGTTTCCATTAATTTTGGTTTTCTTCTTTCTTCTTGACGAGGAGAGACCCGTTGTTGCATCTAGATGGCAGCTTCCTAGCTTTTAAGGTCCCAGTCGCTACTCGCCAAAGTAGTAGGTGGAACAATGTTTTGTATAGTATGTTATGCCAATTGAGCTTGATGTCCCCTGCGACTATGGTCCCAAGCCCGCAGGATCAACTACTCGGTCCCTCTGGGTAGCTGGCTGTGACCAAGTAATGCCCATAACCTTGCCCCTTGTCAGCTCTACTATACACCTGGGAATTCTGATCATTCACATGAACTTATAGGCCCATTGTTTCCAAGATAGTTTTGATTTAAAATATTTTATCTTGCCAAGTCATGTGGGTAAATTTTGGATTTGGAAAATTATTAGTCATGTGACTTGCAAGGCAACCATTTTCTGCCTTCAACAAGGCTTCCCACACGGGCACAAACGAGAATCCTATCTCCAGTTCTCAAAAGGCCACCTATATTTAAGACTTTATTCTTGCAGCTCTTTAACCTAAAGCATCTGTTGCCCCAAATACTCTTATCTGTGCAAAGATAAACCCTGCAGTAACACAAGTTTATGAATTAGAATAAAATACAGTGGCTCTTTTCCTCCATAGCAAGCTTTATCATATTTACAATAATTTGACCCCACATTTTAACTGATGACTTTCTGAATGTCACTTACAGTGGTATAGTGAATTCTACTCTACCACTCATTCTTCCTAGATGCTTTGGTGGTATAGTGCTTAAGCGTTCAGCTGCTGGCTGCTAACCAAAAGGTCAGCAATTCAAACCCACCAGCTGTTCCATGGGAGATAGATGTGGCAGTCTGGGTCCATAAAGATTTATAGCCTTGGGAACCCTATGGGGCAGTTCTACTCTGTTTTATAGGGTCACTATGAGTTGGAATTGACTTGATGGCAATGTTTTGGTTTTTTTTTGTACTCATCCTTCATCCTTCAAGACCCAGCATACACTACCTCCTTAGAGACACCTGAACTTGTTTTCTCTTTCTGTAAACTGACATAAGAGGCTTCTTTGTACTGTTCCTAACGGTATTTGTCACCCAATGCCATGAATTCCCCACATCCTGTCTCAACTACTCCCTACACTTCATCCCCAGGTGAAAAGGAATGTTTCAGCAAATTCCAAGTGTTGCCCCCACCCCTCACAGCAGACACACAACTCATACTGAAGACAAAGAATACCTGAATCGGTTGACTCAGAGGAACCCATTCTCTGCAGACTGCTGTTCTTCACCTCCAGTGGCTGCTCATACTCACTACAACCAAGAGAAATTTCTCGGAGTTAATACAGGAGACAGGCCATAAGCTTAACAAGTGGCCAGGTTGCCATGAACCATGATTACTTCTAGGCCACAGCAGACTCCCCTTTTCCCACCCTGACATCCAGTTTGCACTTGAGGATGAAAAAGGAGAGGAGAAAAGATTGGTTGAGCATACCCTGGGCCACACTGTAGAATATGATGATTATGATGAATGAAATATTTCCTGAAATGTGAAGATGTGTTCTAGAAGTGCTAAAAGTGGAGAATTAACGATGATTAAGACAGTGTTTCTGCATTTCAGAGATTTGGAAAGAAGACATGTGCTTGGTTAGCAAAAGGGATACCCAAGATTGAGGGGAAAGCAGCTTCACCAGAAACACTGCAGGATGTATTGTTTGCTGTAAGGGCAAGTCCCAAGGGCTTTCCATTATGAAAAGTTGGCTAAAAAAGGCCTGGCTTTGGGAAAGCAACGAGGTGTGAATCAGGAATGTGCACGAGGCAAGGAGGGATTGCGAATTACGATAATTCTATACCAACATCAGGAAAGAAAATGCCATGTCACTTTGTTGGGAAGGAACAAAGCTTACAGGAAACTAAGATCCTGTGAGGTTCAGCAAAGCGTGTAAGTCGGTGCTAAGATTCCAAAGGGCTCCCTGGGATAGGGAAGCGACAGAAGGAGGCTAGAGGGCAATCTGAAAGGGGTGGCGAAGGTGAGGAACAGGGGCCTCCTCCCCCCACCCGGTCCAGCCCTGGAGAGTCCGAACGGCCTCTCCCGCCCAACATTCCGCCCGAGCGAAAGGTGCACATGGCGGGCCCTTTGGCCGGGAATGCCGTCTCGGAGCGGCTGAATCAGGCAGCCAGGTCGTTCCTTTCTCCAGGCTCATTTTCCGGCCCGATTTCCCCGAAGACTAGCAGGAAATTCGGCGGCCCGGGCCCCTGCTGCTGACCCCTTTCTCACCTGCCCAGTCCTTGCAGCTGGTCCATGGTGACCGTCAGGTTGGTGACAGGCGACAGCCCCCCGGCGGCTGGTGTGCCGAACAGCGCCTTTACCACGGCTGGTGTCGTGGGAGGGGGGCTGCAGGCGAAGAGCAGGCGCCGGCGGTGCGGGGGCTCCGGGCCCAGTTCCATGGCGGCGCCCGGCCTCCCCAGGGCTCCCGCTCCCTCTTTCTCCGCCTCCACCCCGCCCGCCCCGCCCCGCCGACACCGGCTTCGGCCGCGCGCCCAGCTGCCGGCGTCCGAGGGTCAAACACAAACACGACCCCGCGGTTTAGGGACGCTCGGATACTCCGGCTCTCTCCCCGCGAGGCGGGCGGGCGGGCGGGAGCCGGCAACCTGAAGATTAAATCCAAACAAACGCTGCGGGTCGAGAAAGGAAAGCGGGCGAGAGCCGCGCGGCAACGGCCCAGACTCACACACTTAGTTTTTCAATCACCCTTGACGAATCTGGGATCTCAGAGAAGCAAGGAAACCTCGACTTCCCTCCTAAGCTGCCGCGACTGAGATGGGCTTTCGCGGTAGTAGCTGCTCATTAGGGGACACCGGTGCCCCGCCCCCCTTTTCCTAGTTGGCGCCAAATGGAATCCACCAATCCGTAAGCTATTCCCCCGCCCCCGAATGGCAGCCAAGCTGGACCAATGAGAGGGAAAGAAGGAAGCCGCCCGCGGGGCTCTCCGAGGTCACCAGCTCCTGATGGGGCGGGGCCCAGAGGAAACGGGGCGGGTCGAAGCAAGAAGGGCTCAGAGGTCAATGAAAACTCCCAGTAGGCCCCTTTTGACCCGTTGTATGCTGGGAAGCGTAGTTTCCATCCGGCGCTGCCTTCCCGACACCGCCTACCCCAGTTGAGCCGCGCCCACATTGTCCCGCGCTCTACCGCCTGAAGGGATGTGGAGGCTGTGGGGCCCTTCTGGTTCAGCGGAGCCCAACCTTACTTATAACTGTGTAGCACCACAACCTGTCTCTTTTGTCGGTCCCCAGGCCGCCATTCCCAGTTATGAGTGACCATCCCCCTCCCAGGGCCAGGACCCCTGGGCTCAGCCGCGAGCAGCTATCCCTCTGCTCCCCCACTGCCGACCACCAAGGTCGGAATCTGGGGCTCTAACGCTCTTGGCCTGCGCTGACCAAAAGCCGGTGGCCAAACTGGGCATGTACTCTGCAATAAGGCCTGCGCAAATTGAGAAGGGCCTTTGGTGTAAAAATCCACCTAGGAGTTCCATGGCGTTGTATGAAAAATAAAACGTAATATATTCAGTAAGTTTAAAATATTAATTAAATAATGGAACTCACTGCTGTTGAGTCGGTGCCGACTCATAGCAACCCCTCCTTAGGTTTCCGAGGTGGTATCTCTATGGAAGTAGATTGCCCAGTCTTCCTTCCGAGGAGTGGCTGGTGGGTTTGAACAGCCAGCCTTTTGGTTGGCAGTCAAATGCCTTAGGCACTATGCCATCAGAGCTCCTATTAATTACATATGGAAATGATAATATTTTTATGGTGGGCTAAATAAAGCATATTGTTAAAATTAATTTTCACTCTTTATTGTGGCTATTAGGACATTCGAAATTACATATATGGCTCACATATTTCTATAAGACAACCTGTATATTCTTGCTACCTCTCTCTATGCCCATTGTCTTTGTCTGGGTGTAGGCCTCATCATCTTTCTACTGTACAACAGCAGCAGACTTTTAGCTGGTCTCTCAGCTTTGAGAGTCACCTGCTCTTCCAAGCCATGTTTCTACTGTATCGGTCTCATCATTTCCCTCTCCCAGGATATTTTCAAAGACTCTTTGTCTTGTTGGGTCCAGCTCATTTTCCCTATCTTTATCTGGGCCCTCAGTCCTCCTGGCTCCCCTCTGCCATTCCTGCTGTTCCCTATCTTTCCACATACCATGTGTGCCCTCTAATCTTCCTGAACTAGAGTTGATAGAGCTACTTTGGAGCAGGGCACATTCCCTCTCTTTCTAGTACTGTTGTTGTTGTTGTTATTTGCCGTCGAGTCGGCCCCGACTCATAGCGACTCCTCCTTGGGTTTCCGAGGCAGTATCTCTGGTAGCATAGTGGCTAAGACATTTGCCTGCTAACCAGACGGCTGGCGGTTCAAACCCACCAACCACTCCTCGGAAGAAAGGTTGGGCAATCCTACTTCC